TCAAAGTGTCCAATGATCTTTGCCATGTTGCTCTACCCCTTTTCTAGTTTTTTAAAGAAATGATCAAGTCAGTATTATAGGCTTTTGGCTTTGGAGTTTGGGCTCTTCGGATTTTGCGACGTTTGCGAACCCTTAGAGACCTGACTTGTCCGGTCCTTTAAAACGAATTCCAGCCTAAGCACAGCCAAAATCCCGACAACCAAAATCCCGCCACATTCTCGATGCTAGTTCTATACAACTGCCTGCAAAAGCCATTTTTGCACGGCGGCATTTTGGCTGTCGGTTCAGACATTGGCATTTGGCTGTCGGCATTGGACTGGCGATATTTTGGAATACCCCCGTTAAAACTATTTGAAAATATTCTAGGAATTCTTATCGTCGCGAAGAAATTCACGACTTCCTGCCTCAGGTTCTTTCCCCTTGCTACCGCTGAACCCTCCGTCTTGCATTATTTTTCATTGGATTTGCGGTCCGTCTCCCCCCGCGGAATCGTCAATGTTCCGGGGACGCGCTCAGCGTCAGCGAGTTACACGGTGTTGACAGCTCAGAAAATCAAGATATTTAGTTTTTAGGATCGTTTCGATGAGCGCGATCGGCCACTATTACTAAAATAATCCAATCTAATTTATTCATATTTCTTAGTGTAAGTAATTTAATCTCTTCAGAAAGGTCTCTCAAATTAATTTCTCTCTTAAAATCCTTCTATGCTCCATCGATAGCTAGAAACTTTCTAATTCCACAGCAACCCCCGAAATAAAACAAATCCGGAAACCGGATATACTTTCCAGGGGTTCTTTTTGCATTTCCCATCAGTTTCCCCGGCCAAAATGAGACTCGACTTCCCCATCTTTTCGAATAGTTCTCCTCCCTCGATCGTCCAATGTTTTGAAAGGACACTCATAGCTGGGAACGGCGCGGAATTACTCATAGCAATGCCGGTAATTCCGGAATGTTTCGGAATGAGCATTGGCAGAAAACATTCGATTTTTGCTCTCAGTTTCTACGATTAATAAAGTTTTCCCTCACCTTGCGACTGTGCCGCCTATTCCTCAATTCCGCTCCACTCCTCTACACGCCAGTCTCCAAATTTAAACTCCCAACCCAAAATGGAAATCCGTCCAATTGATAGCGTCAATCCTCACCCCTCATACGCACATTCACCGGGCGGCTTTTCGGCTTGTTCGCCGATTTTCAGCGGGCAGCCAGCACCTCGAGCCTTCGCACACCAAAAATTTACATTTTGTCGTCATTGCCGGGGTAGGGGAGGGGGAGGAGGAGGACTGACTGCTCTGCATCACAATCACAACCTGCCCGACTCAAAACCCGCACTCCCCTTTGCCCCAACCTCCGACTCCTGCAATTCAGCATCGCAATTCTTTACGGCCATTGGGGTTGAATAGGGACGGGCCGCGAAGTGTTAAATTCCTCAAAGATCCCTGCTAGCTTGCCCGAATTTGACATCGTACGTCGAAAGGCTCCTGCTAGCTTTTATAGTTATTTTTTTAAAGAGCAAGGTCCAAACCCCCCAAAATTTTCTCCTGAACGATCAACGCCCTTTTCCTTCCATTACTGCATAATCAGTAATGCAAAATAAACACATATTTTGAACCCAAATCCGGGACAAAAAAAAACCGGAAAAGCTTCCCAGACGCGCGGTATGGCATTGTTGTTGCATCGCCTCTTGGATCGGAGCTCTGAGAAAGGAAAACAAAAGCGCCGGGACGGTTGTGTTGCTCTTTCTCTCCCTCATTTGGCTCAACGATATTCCTTTCCGTAAATGGGGTCGGGCTATGTTTCCTGGACTTGGAAAGTGTTTTTGATTCGAATTGTTTTCGTTTTTGTTCGATTTTACGAATCAGATTCTAAAGTCAATTCCACGCAAAGCTAAACATAATGAGTGAACGCGTCACGGCCGCGTCGTGTACTTCCGTATCTTTACCCTTAAGGCTTAAAGCCGAAACCTCTTGGAATAGATGCTAGAAGAAAGAGGCTATCTAACCGCTCTTGAACGCGTCGCGGCCACGTCGCGGCTCCTCCCCAAAACTATAGCAAAGTCAGCGTGTACCCGCAAAAGAGGCAATCGAACCCCCTCCCCCACTGATATTTTTGGACCATCAAAAAGGGGCGGAAACATTTCACTTGCCGGGGTGCAGGACTCAACCAGTTCTCTCCTCCCATCACTTTGTCCAAAATCCGCGGTGGCGTTTCGGTCGACCGTTTCCGTTATCATCATTCATTCTCAACTCCCGGCACCACCACGATCACCGTTTTCTCTGCGTCAATGCATTCCCCGGTAGTGATCAGAGGGGGGAATCTCGTTTACCACAAATGGCCAACAACAATCTATTTTCAGTGGTCGAAAATTGGTTAAAGGAAGAGCTTCGTACATAGGCAGCGGCTTCGCTTGGGTTTGGGCTTAGGCGTAGGTTTAGGCTTCGACTTTCGTAGCGTTGACTTGGGCATCGCTTATGCTTTGCCTAAGCTTTGCGGGCCGGCTTAAGCTTGGGCTTCGTTTAGTCGTTGGCACACACTTATTAAAGGCCCCTTGAAAGCGCAAATATTTATTGCTATAACTATAGATTTTGGCTGACCGATAATTGTCGCTTTATCTCACGCATCTTAGGGGCGGTCAATTGCGCGTCGCTGTCGGGGTCAACATTATACCCTAATACCTTCCCGTCCCTTTAAAAACATTTTTGCGGACTTTAAAATCCAATAAACGCTTTTCTTCGTGTCACTGTCCCTTTAATGCAGCCCTAAAAGGAGAAGCCACCCAAATTTAACCCATTCCCCCCGGATAGAGATTTCCATAACTTCTTCCCCCCCCTCATCGCCCGGAGCGCATGAATTCCCACGCTTTTAGCGGCAACAATCCCGGTTCCCGAGGACCACGGCAGTCCCCAGCCAACCTAATTGAATTCGCGGCGGGACCCCCAGACCACCCAACCCACTACAGGAGGCCCCCCAAACACCGTATCCAATCATCTAGCGACGGCGGAGGGGGTCGGGTTGGCAGAATCGCCTTTTTCATCTAGGAGTTAGTTCTATGTCTCGGGCGCTTTAAAGGAGTCAGCAAGCCGTGCGTGTGAATTTTGGGTGCTACTCACGGTGGTGCCGCGTCCTAATCCAAAGACGGTATTTTTTTTGTATGACGGATTTGATGCTCTATGCTGTAGATTTTCCCGACGCGACGCGCGCGCAACACTTGCCCTTACCTAGCGTAAGCAGTGTAGCCTAAGCCCAAGCCCAAGCCTAACCTAAGCCTAAGCCTAAGCCTAAGCCTAAAACTCCTAAGCCTATGCATAAGCATAAAGTTAAGCCTAAGTACGCGCCGAATCTTACCCTCATTCACGCCCCATTCTTCCCAGATGGTCTTGGCGCGTTGCAAAAAGTCGTAAGAAAGCACCCGGAACCGGAAAAAAGTCATTTGTGAGTAGTACCTGTACGGTGTGTGTGTGTGTTGAGTGAGTGTGTATGTGTGAATGAATTGATTGGGATGGTCGGGGTGGGTGTTGTGCTGTGACAAGCCCCATTCCAGATCACCATTCTCATCGATCTTCCCCCCCCCTGATATCTCCACCCCAACTGACCTTCGAGCTAGCCGACAGCCGATCCCTATTTTGCGTGCTGCTGCCTGAAATCCGCGTTGTTGGGTGTGGCTTTAAAGGGACCGGCAAGGCATTAATTTCGAGATTTTGTTGGCAATGGATTCTCTATAGATTTTAACTCGACCGCGACACGCAACATGCCTGTACGTTTTTCCATTGCATAATGGAATCGCCCGAGATTTCGGTCGGGATTGATTTTTGGGTGCTGGACTGTTAGCGGGGGGTATTTTTTCAGCCGACTAATAATTTTTAATGCAATATCTTTATCGATTACGCCATGATAATTGCCATTAATCGATCGTGTTCTCTGGCTTATATTTATGTATTTTTCTCTTTTCTTCCTACTACTCCTTTCCTCATCCCATTGTTGATCACGCGTCAAAATACCCCCACCGAAAGGTGGGAGATATTCCCACGGCTTTTACTCGCCTCTCAATCCATTTACGGACATGGTAACGAGAATATCGACGGAATTCCCAGGCTGCTCTTTCCTGGAATATGGCGTTTAAAGCTCGGGAGCTTAATTCTGAAAGTGCGGAGTACGATTGGGTAATTTTGAAGCTTTTAGCCGAGCGGCGCGGATTTCCATAATTTCATGGGGTTTTGGATTTTGAGGTACTAACGAAAAACGCTAGGCATCCCGCTTCCTCAATGCCAAGAACACGCACTTTTTCGAGGGTTGTCTAGGATTTTGTTCACGATTTCCGTGAAGAGAGGGCGAGAGAGGGAGAGAGAGAGCGAGAATGAGAGAGAGAGAGAGAGAGAGAGAGAGAGAGAGAGAGGGAGGGAGGGAGGGAAAGAGAAAAAGAGAGAGGAAAGAGAGCGAGCGAGAGAGATAGCAAGAGTAAACGCGGTATTTTCGCCGAGGGCTATGCGATCTGCACACTTACCCTCGAAGCATCAGGGAACCGGAAGACCGGCCCGCGGCCTATTATCTAGACCCCGGCTGCGGCTGGCTGCCGGCTATGAGACTTTATTGCTTCGAGAAATCTCTTTTTCACTAGCTCTCTCTCTCTCTCTCTCGCTTTCATTTTCCATAATGATCAACCATTACTCGGTATGCACTCCCATTTATCCCCAATTCAATTATTCGAAAGTTTCCGCTTCCGATTTTTCCGAATTATTCCAAAACCTACAAGATACCGGAACTCATCTAGCCAAACGTTAAAAAAACTACCGTTCCTTTTCAATTTTCTCCACTCCTAATTTCCTCTTCCACAATATTGCACGTTTTGTTGCCCGTTGTCTGTTGTCCGTCGTCGTCGTCACTTTCAGTTGTCCTCCTCGAACCCGTTGTTCATCGACATCCACCTCAAATCCATTTCAGGGTCGATCTATGCGATGTCAGAGAGCGATGAGTACGGGTGCACAGTATCCGAGCTACGCGGCCTCATGGAGTGCCGCGGAGCCGAGGCCCTCGAGCAGGTCAGTTGTCGGCATATTCTAGTGTACGTCGCTACGTTATGCGCCTAGAATCAGTAGAAATTTTGACTAAAACGGAGTTTCGTGTATTCCTGTGTACCCAAATTTAGGAAAAAATTAAAAAATCGCCGCCCGATTCCCCAAACAACATGAAATTTAGGTTGAGCGCCACTACGGAGGCGTCGAAGGCCTGTGCCAGAAGCTGAAGACCGACCCGGTCAACGGACTCCCCAGCAGCCCAAAGGAGCTCGAGAAGCGGAGAAAAGTATTCGGCAAAAACGAAATCCCGCCCGCCCCGTCAAAAAGCTTCTTGCGGTTAGCATGGGAAGCGCTCCAGGTTCGTATTTTTTGACATAATAATGCAAACACACAAAATTTCAGGACATCACCCTCGTTATTCTTCTCGGGGCAGCCATTATATCGCTCGGCCTCTCTTTCTACAAACCTCCCACAAAAAGTGAGTGTGTGCTTGGGTTAAGCCTAAGCCTAAGCCTAAGCCTAAGCCTAAGCCTAAGCCTAAGCATAAGTCTGAACCTAAGCCTGGACCTAACCCAAGCTGAAGCCCAAGCTTCAACCTAAGCCTGATCCTAAACCTAAACCTAAGCCAAAGCTGCTCCAAAGCCCAATTCCAAGCCCACTCCTATGCAAAGCCTAAGCCTAAGTATCAGCCTGGCTTAAGCCTAACTTCAAGCCGAACCCCAAGCCCAAACCTAAGCCAACTTTCAGACACGGACAGCTCGGAACAAGAAGCCGGCTGGATCGAGGGAGCGGCTATCCTGATCGCCGTCGTTGTCGTCGTCATGGTGACGGCATTGAACGACTGGAGCAAGGAGAAACAGTTCAGAGGTATGTAAAACTTCGGTCCCCTGAAGCACCTTTTTTTGAGCCCCATAACCCTATATTATTTTAGGGCTGCAGGCCAAGATTGAGACCGAACACAAATTCTCCGTAATTCGCGATGGTCAACCAATTGACATTATCGTCAACGATCTGGTGGTCGGTGATGTGGCTCGCGTTAAATATGGTATATTGCCGGGAAGTATTGCTTAAAATCGATACCTTTAGGCGATCTGCTGCCCGCCGACGGGATTCTCATCCAATCAAACGATCTGAAGCTCGACGAGTCGTCTTTGACCGGAGAATCGGATCTGATCAAGAAGAGCGTCGATCATGATCCCATTCTTCTATCTGGAACCCATGCCATGGAGGTATTTAGTGAAAACATTACTATTTAGCTAAAGCTACTTGTAGAGCATGAAAAACTAGCCTAAAAGTCTTACTTACGACTAAAAAATGTGATAGAAAAATCATACAAGCAAACCCAAATTTTCCATTTCCAGGGTTCTGGCCGCTTCATCGTGACGGCCGTAGGTGTCAACTCTCAAACGGGCATCATCATGTCGTTGCTCGGAGCCGTGAAACAGGAAAAAGAGGAGAAAAAGGCGCCGTCAAAAGAACCCGAGGCTATTAATGGTGTGTCCATAGTATTAAAATGTAAATAGAAGGCTTAGGCAATGGAGTTCTGGTGGCGAATGGTGCCCCGAAAGAGGGAAAACCAGTGATTGTGGATGAGGAAGATTCTGGGAAGGTCACCAAGTCCGTCCTTCAGGGAAAACTCTCTTCGTTAGCCATTCAGGTGAGTTGAAAAGGTTGTTCTGTTTCTCCAGCAAGTCCAAGATTTACCAAAAAACATTCTCGACTTCTCAATCCCCTTTTCAGATCGGTTACATCGGCTCAATCGTGGCGGCGGCCACCGTGTTGATGTTGGTGGCGCGGTTCTGCTTCGAGAATTATGTGATGGCCAAGAAGGCATTCGAGCCGACAGACCTCTCATATTTCGTCAATCACATCATTATCGGTGTGACGGTGCTGGTGATAGCTGTCCCAGAAGGACTTCCGCTTGCCATCACACTCGCATTGACCTACTCGGTCAAGAAGGTTCGACAGGAAGGGGGTCCATTCAAGTGCTGTTTCTAGATGATGAAAGACAACAACCTTGTGCGGCACTTGGACGCGTGCGAGACGATGGGTAACGCGACGGCCATCTGCTCGGATAAGACGGGCACGCTGACGACGAACCGGATGACTGCTGTCCAGGCTTTCATCAATGGTATGGAGCGTCGAGAAATCAAGTTTTAAAGCGAATTTTCAGACGAGTTCTACAAAAACAATCAGCTCCCGAAATACGATCAACTAGATGAGAGGACAGCTTCAATGATTGTTGATGGCATCTCAATCAATAGCGGCTTCAACTCGCAAGTTGTCGAAGGGAAACAGCCAGGAGCACCAAGGGAACAGGTAGGGGAGAGAGCGAGAGAGAGAGAGAGAGAGAGTACGCAATAATAAACTTAACATTAGATCGGCAACAAAACCGAATGCGGACTCCTCGGCTTCGTCCTCGACCTCGGCAAGAACTATGATGATATCCGGAAGCTGCACCCAGAGGAAACGCTCTTCAAGGTGTACACCTTCAACTCGTCCCGCAAATCGATGATGACCGTCATCGCGTTGCCGAACGGGCGATATCGTGTATTTGCCAAGGGAGCCTCGGAGATCATCTTGTCGCGGTAGATCAACTTTCAGCATTAAGGCTCTCAATTCCAGATGCTCATACATCTTGGGTCGAGGCGGCAAGATTGAGTCGTTTGACGAGGCCGGGCTGGCCGATCTGACACAGCGTGTCATTGAACCCATGGCTTCGGATGGACTGCGAACGATCGGATTGGCCTACAAGGACTATGTGGTGTCGGGGGAGAAGAAGGAGGAGAACGAGGTGAGGGAGAGGAGGTGGAGATGAACATGATGAATTCGTTACAGGTCGAATATTCGGGTGAGGTCAACTGGGAAGATGAGGAGACTGTCAGGGGAGGAATGACTGCTATTGGCATCATGGGTATTCAGGATCCAGTTAGACCGGAGGTGAGTCAAAGTTGTAAGTCTAAGCCGAAGCCTAGCCTAAGCGTAAGCCCAAGTGATTCCTAAGCTTAAGCCTAAGCCTATTCCTATGCCTAAGCCTCGGCCAGGCCCGCCAACCTCTATATCCCTCTCCAGGTGCCCGCCGCCATCGAAAAATGCCAAAAAGCCGGCATCACAGTCCGTATGGTCACCGGAGACAACATCAACACTGCCCGTTCTATCGCCACATCATGCGGTATCCTCAAGCCGGGCGCCGACTTCCTGGCCCTCGAGGGCAAGGAGTTCAACGCACGCATCAGAGACGAGGACGGAAAAGTGGACCAGGCGAAGCTTGACGCGATTTGGCCCCGATTGAGGGTACTGGCTAGGGCACAGCCATCCGATAAGTACGTTCTCGTCAAGGGAATCATCGACTCGAAGAACACCAAGAATAGAGAGGTATCCAGTTATTAACAAGACGCTCAAACATTTCTTTCTAGGTGGTGGCCGTTACGGGTGATGGTACAAACGATGCGCCGGCTCTGAAAAAAGCCGATGTCGGTTTCGCCATGGGAATTGCAGGAACGGATGTGGCCAAAGAGGCATCAGATATCATCCTCACTGACGATAACTTTACATCTATTGTCAAGGTATGGCTGAAGGGCTACGGTAGAATGCCCATTTTTTAGGCCGTAATGTGGGGACGTAACGTCTACGACTCGATCGCCAAGTTCCTCCAATTCCAATTGACCGTCAACGTTGTCGCCGTGACGATTGCCTTTGCTGGAGCGTGTCTGATTAAGGATTCTCCATTGAAGGTATTGAAGATTCTTGGCATTAACAGTCCCCACCTCAGGCCGTCCAAATGCTGTGGGTGAACCTCATCATGGACACGCTCGCGTCGCTGGCGTTGGCCACCGAAATGCCGACAGAAGATTTGTTGGAGCGGAAGCCGTACGGAAGGACGAAGAGTCTCATCTCCCGCACCATGGTCAAGAACATTGTCGGGCACGCCGTCTATCAGCTGGCGGTGCTCTTCGTGTTGATGTTCTGGGGTGAGAAGTCGACAATTTTTCTAAATTCCCCTTCCGTTCAGCCCCTGATTTCATCCCCCACACCCCGGATGGACGGGAAGCCGGGCTCAAATCCAGGCCGAGCGGTCAGTTTTTTTCTATTATTCACATTTACTCCCCATATAGAACACTTCACCATCATCTTCAACTCGTTTGTCTTGATGACGCTGTGCAATGAGATCAACTCCCGGAAGATCCACGGCGAGCGCAACGTCTTCAAGGTGGTGTCCAGCTTCAAATCGGCACCTCGTCCTCGTTCTAGGGTCTATTCACCAACCCGATCTTCTGCGTCATCTGGATCACGACCCTCATCTCGCAGGTGCTCATCGTGCAGTACGGTGGCCATTGGTTCTCCACGGCACCCCTCGACTTCGTCCAGGTCAGCTATGGGTTTTAGTAGTAAAGGGACGGGCAAGGCAGGGGTAGGATTTCATCTGAATTCGGCAATGCAGCGCAACTCGGCCTGACCGAGGTGCAGAGGACCGAGGTGCAGAGGATATTACGCAAAAATACGGACGCTGCGTCGCGTTGCGCGTCGCGGGCGGACCGTTGCGTTGCGTGTCGCGGGTGCCGCAAAATCCACAGACAATCCCTAGCCAACCAAAACCTTGCCAGCCCCTTTAATCCCGGAACGTTTCAGTGGGCCGTTTGCGTGGCATGCGGTCTTGGTTCGTTGCTGTGGGGCCAGGTGATCTCCAGCATCCCCGCGTCGATCCTTCCGAAATCTCTGTCATTCGGCCGGGGTGAGGTGCAGCCGACGTCGATATTATTGACCGGAGAGTACGACACTCCAACCAACGTATGTCATTCTTGTGGCTTATTTTTTGCAAAGAATCATTCTCGGATATGAATAAGGTCTAAATTTGGTAACATCGAGAATTGATAGCGTCGAAAAATCTCGAAATTGATAATACCGGCATTTCTAATGTCGAAATCTCAAAATATCGAAATTAATAATCTAGAAAATCGAAAACTTTCAATGTCGAAATTCGTCATAATTTTTTTCCGGGAGATTTGTGCATAGTAAACCAGATATATGGAAATTTCGGCATTATGAATTTTCGAAAATATGAAATTTCGACATTAAATGGCGTTATTCTCATTTTCGGCATATGAAATACTGTATTACCGACATACCGTATTTTCGACATGAATTTCGCTATTTCATTGAAATATGTTTAAAAGTGGCGAGTGGATGCGGAATTCCCCCGATTTCCTTACCCCCCAAGCAGCCTATCCCTTTAAAACCAACAATCCTAAAATTTCTGGCATCTCTAACGAAAATCGACTTGATATTCGACGCGTTCCACCCCTTTTTCCAATGCTAATAATTATTTCCGCATCCTCTCTCTCGGCTCTATATCTGGCTTGCGATTATTTGGAATGGAATGGATTGGATGGATATGGATTGATGGATGGTTGATATTGGATGGAGTGTTGTTTTTGGGGGTGTAATCTGGGTTTAAAAGCGCGCATTAAAGGGACTAGGAAGTGGGAGATCTGACTCCAAGTATCGTCATGCGAAATTTTTCAAATTCTGAATTTTTATAAAAATGGATTTTAAGGATTTGGCTTGAGGAAAATAGGGGTTGTAAACATAATTTTTCACAAGATTACCTACGAATTAGGTGTTCCTAAGCTAGCCGGTACTTATGTATTATCGGGGGGGGGGGGTTTAACCGCAGGGTAATATTTTCCAGAATAGTATTTTTATGATAATAGGGTTTTTAGTAAAATTTCTCTATTTGTAAAAACTATCAAAAAAATGTACACAATGTTTGGAAATTAGAATTTCGCTCGATAACCTATATTTTGGTATTCTTTTAACATGTAAGGTTTTCACGTTTCTGAAAAGTAAAAAACAGCTTAGAAAGCTTTCTTTATTTATATTACAAAACTTCGGCGCTTAAGAACAAAATTGGTTCCCACCCCAGCCCCCCCCCGATAATGGCAAAGCTCCAAATAGCCAATACACCCCTGAAAACCACTCCAACCACCCAACCATCCTCCATTCCATTCCATTCCAAAGACCCAAGCAAAAACTTTCAAAATTTCGGGTGCATTCCCCCCGGCAGCGGTGATATTGCAGGTAGCCCAACAGATCGGTGTGCAAAAGACGGGTGCCGGTGGATCGATCGACAGTTCCGGGGCAAGACGCCCGGGTCAATTGCTGTGGCTGCTCGGACTGACGAGACTTCAGACGCAGGTGCGACGAATGTCCGAGATGATGGCGCGCCCCGTATCCGCTCCACGTGCTTCTATTGCCGATATATCACAGCATTTCCCCCAGGCCATGCAGCAGCATCAAGCTGCGGCGGCTGCTGCTGCTGCTGCAGCCGCTTCCGCGCAACACTAGAGTCATTGGTTGGCTGTGGATGGGCCATTTGGGGACCGGGGTACGGTAGAGGGGTCACGGGTTTCACGGTCAAAAAGGACATCTTCTAGCGGGGCGTAGATATGTTCGATTTTGACGATTTTGCTATGTATCGAAAGCTCTCGAAAAGCCTTGAAAACTAGTGTTTGTCATTTTTTAAATTAAGTATTTCTATTCCCGCTTTTTAAAGCCGGAAATCAGGAAAAGCGTCGATTTATACGATTTTGAATAGCCGTCTTTAGACGAAAAAAAAACGTGTTTTTCGGAAAACATTTCGTAGAAAAAAAAATGGAACAAATTTAAGAGCACCAAACACGCTGGCTTTTCGTCTTTTTGACGCTTTCGAAAACTATAAAGATCATCTAAATCAGCGTTAAACGAATCTCAAAAATCAGAAATACCTGGATTATCGCCTTGCGTAGAATTTTACGTTTTTAATTGCCTGAAAACTAGCTTTCCATAACCATACTTTCGGTTTAGTATAAATACTTCAACTAGGATATATTACCTCTAAATGTCCCTTGTGGCCCATCCATGCCGAAACCTTCCCCCAACCTCTGCCTTTCGCAAAGCAATGCCTTCCTCCCCTTCCCCCATCCCCCCGCAGCTTCTTGCCCTCCTTCCTTTTCCCTCTATATATTTATGCTACTTCAATTTCCGGGTCTCTTTCGATGGCTTTTCTCCCCTCCCCCACCCCTCAAAATCTCGACAAAAACCATCGACAAAACGAGCAATTCGGCGTGTTTCTCGCGACACAACGCATGCATGTATCGTCGAGTTTGATCGAGTCCAAAAACCCTTTGAAAAGTTTTGCAAGTTTTGAAAACAGTTCAATCGTGATTAGTGGTGTGGAGTGATGTGTGAATTCGATGGGATTGGTGGATTTCGGCAAAAATACGAAAAATCGAAGTTCTTTTGGCGTGTTTTCAAAATTCGGTTTCGATGCAAAATTGTTTTCAATAATTTTGAATACCAAAAGGTCCACATAGTCATTTTCTATCGCTAATTGGACGACGCGAATTTGTCAAAAGTATGACTTTTGGAAAACAAATTTTTGAAAAAACTTAATGATTTGCGATGGCTTTCTTGCCTGCCAAAAAGAAAACCTGGCAAAATGTTTGATTTCTGGCCAAAAACGACAAAAAGTACCAACGATAGAAACTACTAGTAGTAGTTCTATTTAGCGCGGAAAAGTAGTACTTTTCCGCGCTAAATAGAACCGTAATTTGCACAAAAATGTACTCGGAATCCACCCATCCCACCCCATCCCCCAACAGCATGCTCTCGTGTCTATCGTCTAGTTCAAAACACACCCTATAGCCCCCCGGGTCTCTTATCCTTCCCCGTTTATTTTGCAACAGCGTGACCGTGTCGAGTTGTTCAGATGCGAGTGGTGAAGGCGTTCCAATCGTCTACTGAGGACAACCATCCCTCATCCCTGACGACGTCGACGGCTGATCGTCTACGGGCCTCCTACCGCAGGTTGAAGATCGCCAAGGAGTTGGAGCAGCAGAAACGTGCGTTTTCGTCCTCAAAAATCGGGGTGTAATTTGGTTATGAAAATTGTTATATAGTTTGGTTACGAGGTTCATTAACAGTCTGGGGTATTTGTTTATGTGGGGGATTATTAGGCCTAAGCCTAAGCCCGAGCCTAGCCTACGTCTAGCCTAAGCCTAAGCCAAGCCTAAATAATTTAATAAAAAAAAATACAAAGTTCCAACCCCAAAAACCCCCTAAAACAGCTCTAAGCCTAAGCCTAAGCAAGCTAGCCTAAGCCAGCTAAGCCTATAATAGCCTAAGTCTAAGTAGTAGTAAGTACAATTACTCCACCTCCTTTCTACATAAAGCCGCAAAAAATAGCTCGGCTTCATAAAAAACCCTAGCGGGTAGGCTAGCAGAGATCTTGGAGGATTCACCCCTCTCACTAGGCCAGGGTATAACTATAAATTTCGTATTTTCGTTAGTTCACACCTAGTAATTGGTTATAGAATCTAACATACCTCACTGAGCACACGTAGACGTTTTTGCGCATTAATAGCTCGATTTTTGGCGCCCCGGAACGTCCTATTGTCCGTCCCATACCCCCCGGGCATGTAGCCATTTCAGGGGCGGGTAGTGTGCGCGTGTCAGCGGCCAAGGATCCGGCCAAGGACACGACGGCCATGAAGTTCGTCTAATTCTCCGGTGGAAACAAATCAAAATCAACCACTTGCTCTCCCTCTTGCTCTCTCCGTCTTCAGTAGGGTCCTCTGAGCTCCGGGGGACAACCGGGCCAAATTGGCTTCGAAAGGGATCGGTCCAATCTGGTGTCTAACCATTCGCGTTGCATCCGATTAAACGAATGTGTGGATGGTTCAGTTCGAATCTAATGTATATGTGAAGCCTACGCGTAGCGTAAGCCTAAGCCTGGTCTAAGCCTGGCATAGGCCTGGCGTAAGCCTAAGCTAAGCCTAAGCCTAAGCCTAAGCCTAGGCCTAAGCCTAAGCCCAAGCCTAAGCGCAAGTCAATAGTACCGATCCCTTTAAAGCATTTGCCCATCAAAACCCCCGGAGAACAAGGCCCTATTTGCACGACATTGCCCATCCCCCAAATACCCGAATTGCTCACTTTTGATGGCGGATGATCCCCACGCCCTTCTCTTCGCCATCATTTTTTCAGTTCAACGCCCCTTTAAAGACCGGCTGTTTTGTAACGTGTACATACCGGGAAGGTACGCCCCATCCCATCTATCTCTCTCTCTATTCCCCGCCCATACTTCTGGATTCGCGTCAGCCGTTTTTCGAGGAGAAAACCGCTCGAAAATTGGTGTAACTCCACCCGCCCGGTGCCCGGGGTGGGGGCTGTGGTGTGTGGGAATGGGAGGAGCTGACGAGTTTTGGAGCTGGGTTACGGTAGTGGGGTCAATTTTTAGCAGAACTTAACACAAGACTATCTTAAAAAATCGAAAAATTTACTTTGTGATATCCAAAAAGCTCTATAATTCCGTTGTAATACATTCAAACGGTCTGTAATTTTTCTGGTAGATACAAAACCCTAAAATCTATATACCATACCCCTAACCTACCGTAACCCTTAAAACAGCTCCAAAAAATTGTCAGATTCCCCTCCACACCCCGGTCCCCCCTCCCCCCAATCGATTGCCTTATCCCCCCGAATTTGATCGTTTTTGATATTTTTTTTTTTATATATTTGTGTCTACAAGATAGGATATGTCTTTCTTCGACTCCTCCATCTACTCCTCCTCCTCTCCATTTCCACAAAATATCGCATAATATCCCCCAGCCCTTCCGATAGGCCTACTGTAGCTGCTGCTCCTTCCCCTCTCTTCCGCTTCGATTCTATACACACGTGAATGTTGTGGCAGAATAACGTAGGTGGTGCCGATAATTTGACAAAGACTTCTATGTTCCACGATAACCGGTTGCCCACCTTTTTGGAATCTCGAGGTTTTAAGGGGCCGGCAAGGCAAAATTTTTTTACTTTCCGGTCCCTTTAAAGCTCGGAATTCCCCTTTTCTCCCCCTTACCGCCGTCTCTCGACTATTGAGCATCTACCAGCTCAACGCAACGGCCCCTTTCCACTTTCTGAAAAACGCGTCTAGCCTACCGTAGCCCCCGAATATCATTTTTGGTTTTCAAGGTTGAGCTAGGGTCTTAGATGTTGTTTTTCCTTCCTCCTCTTCGAAACCTCCGCTCCCCATCCAGGCCTTCATACCATCACTAATTTTTTGTCTCCGTTTTCTTCCTCGTTTTTCAAAGTGTCGTCCCGATTTTCGTCTTGTGTGTTTTCCGTTTTTGCTCGATGCGATAATAAATTATTCCTGAAAAAGTTGCGAGACAATAGAACCACAAAAACGGCAAAAATTACAATCCTTTAATCTGGTGTGTTGACACTTTGGCACTGTCTGCATTGGCCTTGATAAACAGGACAAAGGTATTGTTTACAGAAGGTTCTTCAAAATATTGCCAATAACAATGCTGGGCAGGCTAGCAGAGATCACTTTTGGAAAGGGCCGACTAGCAGTGAGGCTTGAGGAAGCATCCAATAGCTTTACCTAACCCTAATCTTAAGCCCAAGCCTAGCCGGGGCCAATCCTAAGCCTAAGCCTTTGATTAAGTCCAAGCTTAAGCCCAGAAAATAAGCCATAGCCTAAGCCGAATCCCAAGACTGACCTAATCTCAAGTCGAAGCCGAATCCAGGTGAAACCTAGAGGCCAAGCCCAAGCCCGAAAGCTAAGCCTAAATCTAAGCCTAGAAAAACATAATCCCTTCAAACCAATGTAAAACTGAATTTTAGAGGTTTTTGGCGGATAATTCTCGTACAGGCAAACCAGCACAGATCATTACGGAATGCCGATGACCAGGCTAAAGACAGTGACCACCGAATCGTCATAAACTTCAAGAATATCCGGAGGCGATGCGATGAGTGCCAATCTGAGCCCCTGATTTCCCTTTTTTGCCCTTTCCCCTCTCCCCTCTCTAGCGGGGTCTTTGTGTGATAAGATAAAGAAGCCGCTTTGTGCCCCAGTCTGGCCCCCTTTGCCGCCCTTATTTGAAAATTGACTTAGATTCTTTGATCATTGCTGGGGTATTCTGCGGCTAAGACGCGTTTCTGCCTTCGAACATTATGGAGGATTGTCATGGCCACGAGCATCCGCTCGAAATTCTGGACACTCGCGTGCAGTGGGCCGATTTGCAGGTAAATTAGCCGAGATTATTGGGAGACAACCCCCGCCGCACACCTCAAGAACACCCATATCCCACCCCCCCCCCACCACTCCATCAAACATATTTCACACAAATTCCCCCAACCCCAAAACCACCCACTACTTATTTACACCAAAACCCATCGAAGACCCCAAATTCAAACCCAAACCCTCAACTACCTCCCCACACACACAAGATGCCAATTATATAAGGTGGATATGAGGGTGACAGGCTGGAAAAAATTATAGCGAGTATTTTAATGGGGGTTTTCTTAAAATCGAAGTATATTTCCGGTGGAAAAACTACCAAGAAATCCTTAGAAAATCCAAAATTTGGTCAAAAGCCAGTAATCTTTCGAAAAATCTACTTTTTTGTATTTCTGAGTTTTTGGATACGTATTTTGTTTTTCTACTTTTGTAAAGTTTTTAAGAATAGGGAAAAACGGGGTAGAAGCATTCTATTTATTTTAAAAATCGATAGTAAATGCAAAAGTTGCACCCCTGATAGCCGCTCCCCCCGGTATTGCAAAAGAACCTTAAATCACTATCAATTCAACATCATGTTCAGACCCATCTCCAAAAAGTGCTAATGACCGACTCAAAATGCCGCAAAACATCTTTCGCGTCGAAGGCTCCAGGATCTGTCGTTGGTTCGGACCCTTTAGCTGTAATCGTTTTTAGGGTTTCCTCTCCCAAGTGGTCCTCATCGATCTCAATTGGTTCCCTCCTATCCCAAAGCTTCCCAAAAGGGTAAGTCCAAGACTAAAGGCACCAGGAAGCGCGAAACCCAACCATCCCCAAAAACTTTAGGTCGTCCTAAAAGTACCCATCTCAAAAGCCCACGAAGGACTGCCAGAAGACGTGCCAACACCTCCCGAAAAAATGGAGCCGCTTCTGAAGGCCGTAAGTCTACTGAATGCTTCTGTTGTCAAAATCAACAATCTTTTTCAGCGAAAAATTGTGCCCAATGTGAGTTTCGAATCGTTTTCGTAGTTTGTATTTAGCTAGTTGTAGAGTTAGATGTAGTAGATAGATTAGCTAGATAGAAAACTGTCCGATTCGCTGCTTTGGTCCACGCACGAATTTCCAGCTATTCGAAGCGGAGCGGGCCTTCTACGAATTCTACCGTGTCCACGAGCACACCGAGACCAGTTTGCCGCCCATTCCGCATTTTTACTATGCGGCTAGGTTTGAGGTATGTTTGAGTGTTACTAGGGTTAGGCTTAGGCTTAGGTTAGGCTTTTAAGCTTAGGCCTAGGCTTTGTTCAACTTTTATTTTCAGGGAAACCATGAATACCTCGTCTTTGAATGTCTACAAAACACGCACTCCTTCCACGTCTGGGACAATTTCAACGAAAAACAAATTGATCAGGTAAATCGTTACTTTTCATCTAACGGTAGTGAGGATTTGGTACGTTTCGCTCCAAATGACATCAAATTGTTGGATTTACCGACCCTCAAAAATTCTAGATGCTGCACGCAATCGCTCAAACGCAAGCCTTTGGCTATCTGAACAATTCCTCGTCTCAACCCGGCCTCAATCTGCGGCTCCTCGACGTGCTCTACGATGAATGTTTCCCCCGAGTAGTCCGTCCTCAAGTGGCTTCAATCATCGGGGCATCATTTAGGAAATGGCCGAGTTGCTGCGGAAGATGCCCGCTTATTTTGGGCAGGAGCTGGAACCGTTGGTTGAGAAGGCATTGGCCAGCTCGGATGACTTCTACGATTTGAGGGTTGAGGAGAGGATCTGCGCATCTTTGGGTGAGCTTGACTTTAAAGTTTTTCATCTAGGAGGCTTCGGAAATTGATTCTTGCAGACAATTTTGCAAAAAGCCATGATTTCGAAAATCAATTTTTCGACAGTGAAAATTTTTTAAAAATCTGCACCAAGCTAGGTTTTCTAAATTTTTCAAATCTGATTTTCGAAATAATTGTCTGTCAATTTAAAAGTACTCTCCAGTGGCGAGTATCTTCTAATTTTGGTATGATTCGTCTAGAGGTACCCATTAAGGGAACGCTGTTCAGCATTCGCGACACCTTTAGCGAGCAAGACGTCAGTTTTCGGGTTCAGAGCAAGAGTTTTCAGGCATCAGCCAATCATTAGTGCATGGAGACGTGTGGAGCACGAACATTCTTTGGGATGCCGACGATCATGATAAATTGAGGGCAGTCCTTGATTGGCAGGTGGGGAATCCAGTAACTTATGTAATTCTGAGTTTCAGATGACGCGTCATGGGTGCCCTGCCACCGATTTAATTCGATTTTTGAATACCTGTATGAGTGGAGCACATCGGCGACAGAATTGGGAGCGATACTTGAACAAGTTGGTAGTATTGGCTTAGCTTATGATTAGCCTATTTTTACGTAGCTTAGGCTTACCAAACCCGCCCACGGCCACCCCCATTCCCTAAACCCCCCCCCAACACCATGTAGCGCCATAAACAGTCCATCTGCAAAAAGCTCCTTTATCTTATCTCAGGTTTTGCACAGCCCTTGATTAGGCATGGCTTTGGCTTAGACTCGGCTTAGCTTTGGCCTGGCTTAAGCTTCTAGGCTTAACCCTCCATACCTTGCAGGTTCCACGACTATCTTCGCGTGGAGATGCGAGGCCTCCCATTACCGTATACCGAGGCTCAGGTGGGATAATTTGGCGGTTGAAATAATAAATTTGAGCTTAGACTCACGCTGAGGCTTGGGCTTAGGCTTTCCCTTAAATCAGGAACCGATCTAATTTCAACGTTTAGTTGGTCGATTCCTATAAACAAATGTATGCAATGGAGACGCTTCTCTACATGCCTCCCCTCAATCCAATCGTCGCCTCGGCCAACCTCGAAGTGGCGCCCGAGCTGGCAAAGAAGAGGAAGGAAACCGTTGCCGAGAAGGTTAGCGCAACTAGTAAAAAGCTATTATAAAAGTTTTGAGGGTCTATTTCCTATTTTTCAGGTCAGATGCATGCTAGAAGACATCATCCACTTTGCTCCATTCGCTCCGCGCAGTACCAAAAATAACTCCGAATAAAGGCTACGAATCACAGAACCATCACGTGCCCATTGACGTCCATATGCAAATTGGTTAAGCGGGTTATTTAACGGCAGAACCGTGGCGGGAACAGTCGGGACCACGACCCATGAGAGACATAGACCTAACCACGGTTTTTGGCGAATAGTTGTTGGGTAGATCGGGTGGAAATCGGAACGGAACGGCACGGAATGGATCACTGCAAATTAGCCACACCCTTCGGATCTGTCTGAGGGCTATTTTCAGCATTCGATAGTTACATGTTTAGACGAAGGAACGTGAATTTACGGAGCGGGAATTTCGAGAGTGTCTTACTGGCCAAGTTCGTTTTGGTAAAAATTCGGTTAAGATGAAAGTGAAGCCTAAGCCTAAGCTTAAGCCAAGTCTAAGCCTAAGCTAAGAAGCTTGAGCTTATGCCTAAGCCTAAGCCTAAGCCTAAACCAAGCCAAACCCCTCGATCCTTGAGCCTTCACTTTCACTTTATCAACAAACACTTCACCCCTGATTACGGAATTCCCTCGTGGGTTGTAAATGCTTCCCGGAAGAGCCGCCAGCCGAGTGACAGATGGTCGCCGCGAAAAGTAAAAACTCGCGGATACCGTACTACCCTACACATTCCCCGATTCCCGGAAAAGCCCCTATTTTCCGCTTTTTGCCACGAAAGCAGAAGATTCTCCTCGTTCTCCTCTTCGTCCTCCTCGCCGGCTGCCAGCTCAGCCGGTCGCGCCGGAGCGGCAAAACATTTTTTCGGGGGCGCTCGCTCTGCGTTGCGTCAGCTGGATCGAATACGTGGGGGAGGGAATGGGGGAATTCATTTAGTTTTCTCCGAAGGAGTCGCTGCTAGTAGGCCACCTGAGGTCTTGCACAAAGAACTGCTGCTCGTTGCCCCCGCTCACGATTTTTTTATTTTACTAGCATAATCGATCCGAGGTATTTTTACAATCCGCTAAAATCCGAGCAAAAGTATTTTTAAAAATCCTAATTCCAAATTTTATTTGTTTATTTCAAAGGTGATAGGTCGCTGTTTATATTTACTAGCGTAATCCATCTAGGTTCTTTTGAATGAGAAATAGAAACGGAGTGGAATCGTCATTTTTTGCCACTAGCCTAAACGTCATTTTTTAGCTTTCCCAATCCCAACTCTGCAACATTCCACCTGATTCCTCTTGACACGTGTCCCTAGGATTTGTGCCGTTGTCACTGCCGGGCGTGTCGACCAATTTTTCGTCCCCTCCTTATCGCCGTCACATTCGGGATGGCAAAGCTCCGCCAAAGTCCCGCGGCTGGAAAATCACGTGCTTTTATGAATATATTTTAGTCGGGGTCTGACTAAAACAGTTAACAAACAGTTCAACATGGCCAATTTTTAGGACATAATAGGCATTTAGCCATTTTCATTACGTAATGGATTACCATATTGCACGTCCGTCAGCGGAATGCGGTGCGTATCGCGGGCCGGCAAAACTCACTTTGTATATTCGCCGAAAAACCGTTTTATGACCAGCTCATGGCCCAACCATATACCGTATATTCGTGTTTTGGCGCTAACCAGTGACCCAATTCGCGATCAGCCCGGCTTTGGTCTACCCCGGCCTTTTCGGGGGGCAATGAAAAATCTGGGTGGCTCTTTGGTTAGCGAACTCGGGGCGGTGGTGCAGCGGCCGTACGCCTCAATGAATCGGCGGAATTTGGGCGGTTCCCCCGCGTGACTCACTTTCAAAACCTTTTCAAAAACTTTTTTTGTGTATTTTGACTGGCGAGGCGACCATTTTAGCGTAGCTGCAATTTTTGATGCAAAATGAAGCATATGGCCTCTGCCGATAATTTTTAATAATGATAATATACTTTATCAACGTTGTATAAGTATTCTTATTAAGTGCCACCTGCTTTCGTGTTAAATGACATAAGTAAAGAATTGATCGTCCTGCCGATTTCCGTTAGATTTGGCTATTTTTGAATATAATTTTTAGATATTTCTTTCTCAAAGCATAGGTGGAATTGGAAGACATAATTTATTAATGTAGTTTTATCGTATTTAAACTCGTTTAAAACGTTTTTTTAAATATTTTGCATTTTTTTGGGATTCCGAGGGGGCACCCAAGCCTCGGCCCCTTCCCCTCAACACCCCTCTCCCCGAGCCCCCGGCCTGCGATGGGCGTGGTCGAGGGGCTAACCCCCAGCCCTCTCGCCCACACGACCCGGGTTCGACCCCCGGCCGCTGCTAATGAGGAATAGTTATCCCTGTCTGACCATTGCTGACGACAAGACTGTAACGGCTGAAGCTACCTTTTGCGCTTTAAAACTTAGCAGCTTTTGTTTTTGGGCTTAAACGAACTAAACCATTTAACCGTGAGGCATCATTTTGACAAATTGCCATTTCACCCGTCAGGTCGGCGTCAACACAAACAGGTGTACTATGTCTCAATCCGGGGGCACCGTTTAAAATTGATGGGGGTACGCATGTACTCTTGTGTGGGGAAGGGATGTTTTGGTCTCGACATAGACGTAGGAGGAGGCGGGACATAAACAACGCTAGAAAGGGGGTGAAAAAGCGGCAAACCATGGGGGTAGAGAACGACCGAAAAGTACCCCGTTTGCACTCTGGCCCGGGACACAACCAATTCCGAAATGTTGGCCATGTGGTGTTGGCCGGAGGCATTTCGCTTGTTTTTTCGCAACTTATTTCTAAGGTTAACTAGGCCTATGCCTATGCCTAAGCCCGAGAATAATCCTAAGCCTAACCTAAGCCTAAGCGAAGCCCACTCGGATCTTTTTAATCTTTTCCATGTTCGCCAGATTTTTTTCGTGTTGGTTGCGTCAATGATATGTTAATCAGAGAGAGAGAGAGAGAGAGAGAGAGAGAGAGAGAGAGAGAGAGGGAGAGAGGGGGGAGAGAGAGAGAGAGAGAGGGAGAAGGGGGAGGAAGGGAGAGAGAGGGGAGAGGGGAGGGGGGGGGGGGGGGGAGAGAGAGAGAGAGAGAGAGAGAGAGAGAGACTGGCCACGTGATTATGCCAGTATTTTGACTGTGGTCGGCTTATGGCTTGTGATTTGGGCGAAAACAGTCCCCCCATCTACGGTCTCACAATTCGATACCCTGTCCCCGCCTCGTTGTGATTGATGGTTTATTGGATTCCGATTTTTCGCGCTGTATCCGCCCGTTCAAAAGTCGAACGATCAGTGCGTGACATTGCTTCTCGATTGCTTGTTTTGCTGTCAGAGCGTAGCTGGTTTCTGCCTTAAAAAAAGGAGTATGGTCTCTCTTCTCTCTCTCTCTCTCTCTCTCTCTCTCTCTCTCTCTCTCTCTCTCTCTCGTTCCTTAAGTCCCGGAAGGAATACCTGAATCCATCAACAGCCCCTTCCCAGTCAGCGTGTGACCGCTTCAGGTTGAAGTGGCCGACGAAGAGGCCCATTTTCACGCGGAATTCGCCCTGTCAGCCGCATTTTTTTACCTGGATCCCAGCGCTTCCCGGTCCCTTTAAAATCGAACTCTGAAGCCTCTCCAGCTTCCCTGACCCCCAAAAAGCTCTTCCAACCTGCCCTCCCCAAACCGTTCACCCGGGGCAAAATATTGCAAACCGGGCGACGCACCTCCCCATCGCATTGGCATGCAAATATTTGGGGAATGTTTGGAAGGCGAAGAAAAGGGCGGGCATGTAGAAAAGAATGGAATGGAAAGCGCCCATTACGGCACGGGTCGGCTAGTTGAAAGGGCAAGTTTTAGGCTGCAGATCCGACTCAGATTTGGTTATGGCTTTGATCGTTTTTCAACACTTTACTATTGCCAAGTTCGCAATTGTTCAATCCCTACGTAAGCATTTCCGCCCTCCAAAAAATGCTCTAAATTCCGCCTTTTCCGGGCTTCCGGTCCTTTTGCAGTAGACAATGGGCCACGAGGGGCAACTCTAGGCACGAACGGCTCTGCTGGAGGTCGAAAATCGGGTTCTGGAAGTTGCCGGAAAGAGTTTTGGAGAGCTATAAATTGCTCTCCTGCGTGTTCTACCGTATTCCAAGTTAGTCCAAGTCCAAGTTTATTAAAGCTTTAAGCTTAAGGCCATGGCTAAATCAGCTTAAGGAAAAGCTTGGCCTTTCTAAAGCCTAAGCTAAACCTGACTTCCGACCTAAGTCAAGCCTAAGCCTAAGCCAAGCCAGCCAACCTAAGTCAAGCCTCAGCCAAGCTTAAGACAAACCCAATCCAAGGGAAAATTACGAAAATGTAACAATTTTTCCGAGGTCCATATCTAGGAAATACCCCCCAGCAAAAGCACATTCTCGATAGATCCAACCATTTTTTGCCATTCCCCTTTGCATCTAGTAGTGGTAGCATGAGTATCCATGGATTGAAGAATCCCTCTCCTCCTCCTTCTATTCGTCCATTTTATGTGATAAGACTGGTGAGGAGGAGGGGGAGAGACCGGTTGTTAGGATGGGATGGGGGGCTATGCATAAGTTAGCCCATCCATCCCTCCTTCCTCTCTGCAAGTCACTTCCTCAAAACCACCCCAAGCCCTCAAGGAACAGCTCGTCCATTTTTTGAGGTTTTAAGGGGAGTGTGGCACTTCTTCAGCTTTAGAAAAAATTGAGGCTGAGGTTCTTTTGCATTATCGGGGGGTATCAGGGGGAAAGCGACCTTTTTCTTGTCTGGAAAGCCACCTTTTTTGCTATTATTAAGCGCAAAATCTTTACCAGTAACAAACATTTGGGCTTTTTGCCAAAATTTTCAATTTTCCTTTTTAAAGGTTTATATATAGTATTTCCGCTTTAAATCGATTTAAATTACATTAAAAACGGCATTAAAATGCTTACAATTACGCTATGAGACAATTCTGGACTGGACAATTCTGGGCAATTCTGGACGATTCTGAAAACCTTGGTCGCATCCCCCCCCGATAATGGGAAAGCTCCAAGAATCGGGTCAAGCAAAATATTGTCACTATTTTTGAAACCTAAGCATACGCGTGGCAGCTTACGCTACGCCATGCTACGCCTTGGAGTTTTCA